CAGGTGGGACCAAGAAGGGAAGGAGGGATATTTGACAGGAATCAGAGCCAGGGAGAAGACACAACCACTGTCTGATAATCGAGAGAGGGAGGGAGGGAGGGAAGGAGGGAGAGAGCGAGAAAGATGAGAGAAATACCTGGGTCTTCCCTTCCTCCCACCCTCAGTCTCCTCAGCCTCTTTTTAAGATTTTTCAAAGTTTGAAACCGGGTCTTGCTGTTGCCAAGTTGCCCAGACTGAGCTCAATCTTGCAATCTTCTTGCCTCCGCTTCTCAGAGTTCCAGATTTACAGGCATGCACCACAATACCTGGTTCATCTTGTATATTCTTGAGGTATATACAGTTATTGTACCCACTGGAATGGAAGCTCCTTGGGAACAAGGGCTTGTTCCTCACTGTCCTACACACAGCACCTTGCATGTTGCCTAGTACATTAAACACTCAGTATTTGTTGAGGGAACTCACTCCATTATTGCCTATTTTATAGATGTGGAGTCTGGCTCAGAGAAGTGATGTGACTTGCCCAAGATCACCCAGTCCGTAAGTGGAGGAGCTGGGCTCCAAATCCAGGTGTGCCTGAACTGAAACTCTGGTTGCTACCCTCCTTCCCTTGGCCCCACCCTCCTGCCACCTTGTTCTAGGAGGTCCTCAGACACTACCTCTTCTGGCCTGTCAGGTAAGCAAAGCCCAGACAGTGACTCAGATGTCTCCAGGGCATGACGCTTGACACATCCTTGTCTGGCATCTGTGATGAAGGACACCAAGGCAGGGGGCAGGGCCCCAGGCTCTGGGACAGAACTGGGGCAGAGGCTACTTTGGGGACAGATCTTGGGGCTGTCAGCGCCCTTTGGAGAGGTTCTCCTGACATCTTATATGAGCAAGAGAGGTGGGAATGTCACCTGCCAGGATGGCTGGGAATCCAGAGAGCCAGTCAGTTCCCCTCCCATCTGCTGTATCAGCCAGCCCACCCTAGGTGCTGCATCTTCATCTCCATGCAGACCCCACAGGGTTGCCCCTTCTGGTAGGCACCTGTAGGCCTGCCTGGGTTGGATTGGGTGTGGGTATGAGGAGGTGGCAACCCAGACTTCCTGGGGCAGCTGGGAGTGCCACCCAGCCCGGCTCCTGGGGACGCCCTCCGTGCAGGAAAACCCTTTCATCTCTGATGCTTCTAAAGCCAGGGTACAATTACCTCCTGCACACAGGGAGACAGGTTCCCAGCTTTGGATCTCACTCAACAAGCTTATTCCCTCACCTCTGCTGTGTCAGGAATACGCAAAGCTGTGTCCTCAGCATTTCCTCCTTCTGGAAGCCAGGGCTAGGGCTCCGGCTGGCTCAGTGTCACCATTCCTTCCAGATTAGGTCACAGCCTTCCAGAACCCATCCCACCTACAGCAGGGCTCCCTCCTCTGGATTCTCCCAGCCCCCTCCATCTACCTGTGTCACTGTCTGGCACTTGGCATGGGCGGCCATGTACAGTAGCACATGGCTTCTGGGGAATGTCCTAGTTCCCAACTAGGTCCTTAGCAATTTTTTATGTGTATTTGAACAGCTGTTATTTGCACATGCTTCAGGATTCAAAAGGTACCCCCAAAAATTTACGAACAGCAAAAATAAACATCCTTCATCTTGTTCTTCTGTTGGCAGGCACCGCTGTTAACATCTACAGATATTTAATGTGTGTCCCTGTATTTTTAGTATATTCTATTCTGCATTTCAATTTTTCATTTAACATTCAATCTAAAAGATGGTCTACACCAGCACATTCCTGTTAGTAACAATATTCCATCATATATAGTGTACCATGGCTTATTTAACCAGTCGGCTATTAATGGGTATTTAAGTTCTATTGTCTCTCTCTCTCTCTCTCTCTCTCTCTCCCCTCTCCTTCTTCTCCCATATGGAACTGGGGATTCAACCCAGGGCCTTTGCACTGAGTGACATCCCAGCCCTTTGTATTTTAATTTTTTATTTTGAGGCAAGGTCTCACTAAGTCACTAAATTGCTCAGGAGGGGCTCTCAAACTTGCAATCCTCCTGCCTCAGCCTCCCAGAGTGCTGGGATTATAGGCGTATATCACTGCACTCAGCTTAGGTTGTTTCTAATCTTACGGTATTAAAAAGGATGCTGTGCGTGGGGATATAGCTTAGTGTTGAGGCTGCAGTTCCACCCCCAGTATAGGAGGTGGGGAAGATGAATGGTGCAACACCACACATACTTCATTGCATATATCTATATCTATCCATCTGTCGATCGATAGCTATCTATCAATAGATAGATCTATATATATTCCTAAGTTCTTAGAATTGGAATTGCTGGATCAAAGGCTGTTTTATATATATATACATATATATATATACATATATATATATGTATATATATATAATTTTGTTGCACTGCATATTTCTCTCTTTAGAAATAATACCAAATTAGCTGCCCTGCCACCACCATTGTATGAGGACACTCGTGCCTACAACCTTGTTCTTATGATATATTAAACTTTTTCATCCTTGTCAATCATTCAATAAGTGAAAGTATTTTGTTGCAGCTTTTATTTACACTTCTCTTGTTGTGGGTGAGACTGAGCATATTTTCATGTGTTTAGAAGCCAGTATTTCCTTTGCTGTGAGCTGTCTGTACCTTTTGGCTATTTACACAAGTACACTGGGGGATGAGGGGATAGCTAAATGGTAAAGCTCTTGCCCAGCACTCACAAGGCCCTGAGTTCCAACCCCAGCACTGGAAAAATTGCATTGTTTGCCTTATTAATTTTTTGGATTTCTTTGTGAACAAAGGAAATTAACCCTTTGTCTGCTACATATGTTCCATACCATTTCCCTAAGTTGTCATTTGTTTATGTCTCAACTAGGTTTTATTTCCCTGCCTGGAATTTAAAGGTCTTTGTGTTCCTATTCTTAATGTAATACCACATACACAGGACGTGCTAGACAAACGTCTGTTGAGATAAGAGAAGTGAGAAGAAAAAGGTAGAGACTTGGAAGATTTTGGAGTGACCTAACCTAACCTAACCCACTCTTTCCTCTTAAACCAAAGCTAAGCCCTCAGTCTTTGGTTCAGTCAAGACTTTTTGTGTGTTTTTTTTTCTTTTGGTACCAGGGATCGAACTCAGGTCCTTGTGCTTGTGCAGCAGGCGACAAAACCACTGAGCTAAATACCCAACCCAAGTCAAGATTCTTGTTGTAAACAGCAGAAATGAACTCTGGCAAATTTTAAAAAGCAAACAAAAACAACAACAAAACACCCCATCCTTCAATTAGCAGATATGGACTAGCACACAGAATCAATGCAAAAGTAAGCAAACAGGCTCAGCAAACAGCAAGACACCAAAGGAAGCTTGCCGGTCGAGCTTGTGGCACAGGGCAGCCTATGTTGGAGACCCTCCTTCCCTCTATCCCCTGCAGTGACGACCTTCCGTCAGTACAGACGTAGAAGCTAACGTTTCCTCTCTCAGACACTAGAGGCCGCTGCAGGCCCCATGGCAGCCACCACCGCGAGATGAATTCTGAAGCACCCTCATCTTCTCAGTGACTTGCCCCAGTTTCAGTCCCGGTTGCTGCACCTGATTGGCAGGCTTATGTCTTTTACTTGCACCCTTAGAGCTAGGAGTCTGGAAGAGCGTCAGCTGCAAGTATTAACGCTTTGTGGCAGATGGCCTGCCTCCTGTTAGGGCCCAGGGGATGGAAATTCCCCAAAGTAGGTGAGAATTCCCCAGATGGAGGCAGGAAGTTCAGATGATGGCAGCCAGGAAAACTGGACAAAGCACACTGCCTTCTGCACACATGCCCTACTCAAGCCCTTGTCTTTGATGAAGTGTTCCTGGGTCAACCATCCTAGACTCACATGACCATTGCTCCTTGGCCCAAATGTGATGCTGGAGAGGTTTATACTGATAACTCCTGTTATATACCCTGCCTCATGTGACTTCCAAACAACCATCAGCATTGTCTATACAGTATTTAGGGAGAAAAACCCAACTCCTCAGAAGTTTCCCTAAGCCTAGCAGCACCAGGTTGCAAACCCAGGTCTGTTTCCAAAGCCCTAGGGTTTCCCAGTGGGTTATACTAAGGGATGCCAATCTTTTCAAGTTCCAGCTCAGATAAGTCAGAGCTTCGACTGCATTCTTCTTTTACTGTGTTTTTCATTTTTGTGATGCTGGAGATTGACCCCAGGGCCCCACACATGGTAGGCAAGGACTGGGCCATATCCTCCAGCCCTCACATTATTCTTTATATATTCTGGCAGCATGAAATATAGAAGATCCTTGTGGATTGGCTGAATGATACTAAGTAGAGTAAATTCTCTAACTCCTCCCTTAGGAGGTCTGAACTCAGGACCATTTTGAGGTGGAAGGGGCTGGTCAGGATCAGCTTGGGAAGAAAAGCCTTGAATCCCAGGTATTTTCTTTTACTGTCCTCTTTAACCCACCTCTCCTAATGTGTCAAAACTGTCACCAAGATGTTTGCATCTGTTCAATATTTAATCATCCAATAGATATTTTGGCTATTGCCCTATATATATACTACTGAAAAAAGGGATTTACAGTTTAGTGGGGGAGGTGAATAGTAATCAAGTAAGCGGACCAACCAGTGCTAATCTGTGGCTGTGACCGGGTGAGGAAGGAAAGCCACAAGATTCTATAAAAGGCAAGCGTGACCTACTGAGGGAAGCGAGGACAGCCTCTTTTGAGGACCAGGGGCTGCAGGAGGGATCTGAAGATGAGGGGGAGGGGTAGATCCAGAGAGGAGTCGGTGAGTCCCTGAGGTGGCAATGTGCTCCGGGTGAGTACCATGAGTCCTGTTGATAGGAGAGCAGCAGAAGGACCAGGGGCCCCGCGTCTTGTTTGCGCTAGTACGTCACGCCTGGACGGATGCAGCAGGCCTCGATCTCGCAGGTGCCACCTGGGGTGACGTCTCTGGGGTGCGAGCCCAAAATAGCCGGCTCCGCCCCCATCTCCCAGCAGCCCCTGCTGTCGCCCTCCCCCTTGGGGTGCCGGGCGGAGCCGGCCTTCTCCCGGTCTCTAGTAGTTTCCCTGCCGCTGACGCACGCCTGCGCGCACAGCTGGCCCGGCGCGTCCTACGCAGCAGCCTCGAGCCAGGGCTGCAGGTGCCAGACGGTTCCCAGCGGGGGGCAGGGCCGGGACTCCGGGCGAGGAGTGCGGCTGTCTCGGGACAGGCTGGGGACCCTGGGTTGGGGTGCCGGAGTCAGGGGGCTCCGATCCGGCTTCCCGGGCCTGTGCGCCGAGATAGCCTGGGGCTCCGGCCTGCCAGGAAAGATAAGGCTGAGGAGGAAGCCCCGTCACCGGCTGCAAGCACGGTCCCAAGCCCCGCTCCCACCCTGAGCGCCTTCCGTCCCCCAGGGGTCTCCGGCCGCTAGGAGGGGCTGCTGGTTCCCGGTGGCCTGACTGCCTCTGTCCTGCAGCCCCCAAGAGGCCCGCTGGACGACTGCCATGGCATCCTACTACGAGATTCTAGACGTGCCGCCAAGTGCATCCGCTGATGACATCAAGAAGGCGTAAGTGCCGTCAGGAAACCTGTCACCCTCTGCCCCCCGAAGGGCTTTTCCATTTGACCCCTGTAGGGAGGAAAGACCCTGAAAGAGTAGAGGGAGCAAGTCCAGAGAGAAAAGAAGTAGCGCCCGGAGCCGCCCTGTGGGTCCTTCTCCAGTGCCCCCCCCCAGCACCCCCCCCCGTGCAGACTTTCTAAGCATGCACCATAGAGATGCCAGGCCCTGGGAGGAGGAGATCAGTGTCCCTGTATCCTCTGTGGCCACTTGTGGCCAGGATGGGAGCATTCTTGCCCTTGGGTCACGATGGCTTCCTAGGTATAGTGCCAGCCCTGGTGCAGAGGGAAGAGAGAGCAGTTTCATGAAAAGATGGTCACAAAGCAGCCCCAGCAGCTGAGTGGGTGGGTTCACCCATGAAAGGACAGTGGTGGGCCAGGGGAGAATGGGTGGTTGAGTGTCCTGGTGGGAGGAGACAGCGTTTGTCCCCTGACCCTCCCCTCTGCACCCACTTTCTGCAGGTACCGACGGAAAGCTCTACAGTGGCACCCAGATAAGAACCCGGATAACAAAGAGTTTGCTGAGAGGAAATTTAAGGAGGTGGCCGAGGCTTATGAAGTGCTGTCTGACAGTAAGGCCTGGGATCGGGGCAGGGCCCAACACATCTTCCCCATGTCGGGCCCCATCTCACTCCCCCGCCAAAGCCACGCCTCCACTACCATCTCCATGCTTTCTTTCAGCCTGGCATTTAAATGCCTTCTTCCACAGGGACAGCTCTGCTTGCCCACAAGGGTCTGGAGGGCAGTGTGGGTGCTGACCATGGATAGGAGCGGGGCAGGAACCAATGTGTATGGAGCCCCCTCTGTGCCAGCCTCCTTGAAGCCATCCTGCGAGGCAGGTTTTTATCACTCCCATTGCACAGGCAAGGAAATTGAGGCTGAAAGAAGATCACACAGGGCTGGAGAATGAATCCAACTCTGTCTTTTGTGTTTGTTTGTTTTGTGGTGCTGGGCTTGGGCCCAGAACATCACGTATGCTAGGCAAGTGCTCCACCACTGAGCTGCAACCTGTGCCCCTGTCTTTTATGCATGCATTCATTCATTCAGGAAGTATTCATTGAGTGGTTACAGTGCCAGGGACCTGCTGGGTGCTGGGGAAGCAGAGGAGAATAAGCAGATACTGTTCCTTGTCCTGTGGGTGTTTATCCTATTCTAGTCAGGAAAGATGGGCACTAACCAGGTAAATGCATAGATAGTGTCACAGATCATGACAAGCATTCCACGGGGGAGTAGCAGGGTGATGTGATAGAGAATACTAGGCACCTGGTTTTATTTTGGTGGTCACAGAAAGTCCCTCTGAGGAAGTAACATTTAGACAAGCCCTGATTGATAATAGCAGATCATAATTAGCTAACATAATTCATTTATTTGTGGTGCCAGAGATTGTGTATGGCAGGCAAGCACTCTATTGCTGATATACACCCCCAGCCATGTTTACTAAACACTTACCATGTGCCAACCACTATGCTAAGCAGTTTGTGTGGATTATTTCATTTAATCCTTGCAGCACTCCTATGAGACAGCTGCTATTATGATGTCCATTTTACAGATGAGAAAAAGCCATCCATGTGAAGGGCTTAGTAGCTGCTAAACCCACAGCCTGTGTCCCCTGAACACCCTGCTGTCCCCCAAGTGTCAGGCTGTAGGCAATCGCCTAGCCTGGGAGGGGAAACCCTTGTTCCAGAGGGAGGGAGAAATGATTGGATCTCTCTTTCCAGAGCATAAGCGGGAGATCTACGACCGCTATGGCCGGGAAGGGCTGACTGGGGCAGGTAGGTGGAGTGGCAGGGCCCCGGGATGGAAGTGGGTCAGGGCGGAGTCAGCAAGGCAGGTCCTTGTCATGGCTGCTTTCCCTGAGGCTCCTGGCAGTGCCTTAGGTGGATCCACTGGCTCAGGGCGAGATGGACACCCCAGGCCTCCTATCATCCTGCCTCTCCTCCAGGAACTGGCCCCTCTCGGGCTGAAACTGCCGGTGGTGGGCCTGGCTTCACCTTCACTTTTCGTAGCCCTGAGGAAGTCTTCCGGGAGTTCTTCGGGAGTGGAGACCCTTTTGCAGAGCTCTTTGGTGAGTAGGCTGAGGAGGGCTCAGAATGGCTCAACTTCCCCCTTTGGGCCTGTCCTCCATCCACTGGCAGGGCTTTAGCAGAAGGCTGAGAAGGGAGCAGGATCCACAGGCAGATTTTGTGTAGTGGTGTCGGTCCAGTGAGAGCTGGGATAGAACCTCACATGTGACCTGCCAGTGTCGCTTTACAGACTGGCCTTGTTAAATGACAACAACAATAACACATTGTTAGAGCTCCACAAAAACAGCCATGAAAGCAAGACTCAAAGCACCATGTGACAAGAGTGGTAGTGGTACATGTAACAACATACACCATGTTTTAGGATGATTCTCTGTCGAGTATTTGACATCTCCTCATCTTGTGAACCCTGAGAGGTGACTAATTTTAATCCTCATTTACAGATGAGCAAACCGAGGCCCAAATGACTTGCGTAGAGTCACAGAGCAAATGGCAGAGGCAGGACTGCTTGTTCTTCCTGCTTGTCCTCACACGCTCTCTGCCTCTGTGAAAGGGGCCATCTGTCCTTCCATCCTTCTGACTGTCCCTCCGTCCTTTGTTCCTTATTGTGGGCAGAATTAACCAGTGAAGATTTTCACGTAGAGCGTTGAAAAGGAATTTAATTTGTAAAGAAGGCCAACTGAAAACAGAAAAAAAAAAAATCATAAATGTACCCAGTTTGCTCAGCAGCTTATATTTCTAGACTTAAAAGCAAAGTAGTTCACACATGGAATGGGGGGAGTATTTTCACTGATGATTGCGCATCTGCTTACTTGCTGCAGATGACCTGGGCCCCTTCTCGGAGCTTCAGAATCGGGGTTCCCGCCACTCGGGCCCATTCTTTACCTTCTCTTCCTCCTTCCCTGGGCACTGTGGTAAGCACTGTCCCTTCCCATGTGTGTGAGCTCTGAGTCCTGGAGTCCCCAGTGGCAGCTTAGCGCTTTTCCAGGCCTGTGTCCTCTACGTGGAGCCCTGCCTCTGGGCAGCTCTGCGGGGGCCCTGAGGCTCCTGGCCTTTGGTGACTGTGGCAGGCAGCACAGAGCCTCCCTCTAATGGTCTCTTTTCCACCTCCTTTGTCCCAATGCCAGATTTTTCCTCCTCATCTTTCTCCTTCAGTCCTGGGGCTGGTGCTTTCCGCTCTGTTTCGACATCCACCACTTTTGTCCAGGGACGCCGCATTACAACACGCAGGTGAAGCCTCCTAGGGCCATGCAGGTGGGGGTCTGAGGGCCAGGGGTGGAGGTGGGAGCCGTGTACAGATATAAAATCGGCCCTGTCCACTGTGGTGGCCGGGGCCTGGACTGGTCACTGCTCACTGACTGAGCTGTGCTGTTGCCCACAGAATCATGGAGAACGGGCAGGAACGGGTGGAAGTGGAGGAGGATGGGCAGCTGAAGTCAATTTCAATCAATGGTGAGCAAGGGCTCCACCACCCAGTCCGTGGCAGGAAACTTCAGCCCCTGGGTCCCCTTCCCTAAACTTCTGTCTGAACTTCCTTGGGGATGGGCCCTAGGGAATGGCAGCCAGAAGCCAGACTGGCAGGACCAGAGATGGCCATGGGAGGAAGTGAACAGAGGGGTCTGAGAGGGCCAGCCAGTCACCACCATTGTTGGTGGGAGTACCTTACATTTGCAAAGGACTTTACTGGTTTTTTTAAAGCACTTGCACATATCTAGTTTCTCCTGTATTCTTAAAGCATCTAGGGGAATATGCAGGTAGATGGTATTTGCTCCAGTTTTATTTCAAGAGACTGAGCCACAGCTTTGTTAAATGATCTTGATGTCCAAGTAGCCCCTGGCTCAAGATTCCTACCTATGAACTAAGGAGGAAAGTAAGCCAGGAATCAAGCTCAGGGCACACGATTCCTGGAGCAGAGCTCTTCTCGCAACACCACAGCCCCCAGGATTGTCACTTCGGCTAACCTTGCTTAGCTGCTGACACTGGGAGTACTGTGTGGCAACCCACTTTACATGGGTTGACAGATTTACCCCATGGGACTTTTCAGGTATGCAGGCACTGTCATTCCTCATTCATAGATGAGGGAAGGGAGGCATAGGGAGGTTGAGTAAATCATCCACAGAGAAAGAACATTCCTCCTGGAGCGGAATACCTCCCCATGCTCCTGACCACTGTCCTGGGGCCTGCTGCCCGTGTGCCACTTCCAAAGAGAGGCTGTAAGTGGTCAGGCTGGTCACTGTGTGAGATGGCCTGGCAGGATGCCCCTGCATGGGTCTGGGCCTCATGGTGGCTGTGACTCTTGCAGGGGTCCCAGACGACCTGGCACTGGGCTTGGAGCTGAGCCGTCGTGAGCAGCAACAGTCAGTCACCTCCAGGTCAGGGGCCGTGCAGATGCAGCAGACCCCTGCCCCACGCCCCTCGGACAGTGACCTCTCTGAGGAGGACGAGGACCTCCAGCTTGCCATGGCCTACAGCCTGTCAGAGATGGAAGCAGCTGGGCAGAAGCCGGCAGGTGGGCGGGGGGTACAGCAGCGACGGCAGGGACGGCCCAAGGCCCAGGTCCAAGGTCTAGGGGGGACCCACGATAGGGCCCAGGGTGAGGCAGCCAAACCCAGCCCATCCCCAGAGGAGAAGGCCTCTCGCTGTCTCATCCTCTGAACACCAGGCCCAGCCCGATCTGATTCAGGTCCTGACTCGGCATCTGGCTCACTGGCAGAGCAGAGCAGAGTGTGGCCTGAGTTGTGGAAGCCTGAACTCCATGTCCCTCCACAAGTTTTCCTCCTGGGCTGCCACATTCCAGTGTGGACTTTGGATTTGCTGTGCTCAGCCAGAACTGACAGGTCCCTGGGTGAAGCTGATAGGTCCCTGAGGGGGGTGGGGTGTCTGGGCAATGGAAGAGCTTGAGGGAGCCGGATGCACTTTGTAGAATGAGGGCTTCTGAGGGACATTAATGGTTTAGGTTGAGCCTTTTGTGCTCAGGTCCTGTGCCACCCGTGTTGCCAAGGGTGTGAAGGAAGGAGGACTTGGCCTGGGGTGCAGTGCGCTGAGCCCGAGTTCGCAGCTTCTCTGGGGAGCATTGCGGGCTGAGTGGAGTCTCGCTCTCCTTGTCCAGCTGCAGATCCCTCTTTTCTGTGCAGTGTTGAGCTCTGACTGTCTCTGTGCTTCCCTTCTGGTGCTGCTCTCCTTCCTCCCACTCTGCTTTCTGCAGCTCTCTTCGGGCTGTGTCGCTTGCTTTCACTGCCACCTGGCTAGGACTCCTTTCTCCTTCTCTCCCCAAGAAGCCTCAATGAGCCCAGGAAGATGCTGGGGCCGGTGGGGCCATGAGGTCTTCTGGGGAGGGTAGCTGGGTGGGGCGGGAGCCTCTCAGCCATCCAGATTTGGAGCCGGATCTACTCTTCCTCCCTTCCTCTTGCTGCCTCAGCCTGCCCCAGCTTCGGGACTAGGCAGAGGTGAGGCTGGCTAACCCCGGAGAGGGGGGCTAGGGCTAGGGCGACCCAGGGGGAGGCCTAGGTGGGACTGTATCCCGTACGACTTCCCCAGTATCCATGAGGGTTCAGGGAGCAGCCACATGGCCAGCCAAGGTGTGCATGCTTGACTCCATCCTCCATGGCTTGCTGCTGACCCTCTCTCCTGTCACCCACCCCTGCTCTCTCCCCAGATGTGTTCTGAGCTGGATGTCCAGGATGCAGAGTCGCTTCACAGTTCCAACAGGACAGCACCCTCACCCATGCGATGGGAGGGGATACTCCATCCTCCCTTGCCCATGCTGAGTGTAGAGCTGGGGCCTAGGTGGTGGGTGGGGGGCATCAGTAGGCTTAGCCTGTGAACACTGCCCTGGTGTTTACTGCTGTCTCATGGGGACTACAAGTCCCACAATGCAATGCACACAGCCTCATTTCTGATAGGTCACACCCAGGAGAATTGGTGCCTGGTTATAGAGCTGTGCTTCTTGGGATATGTAGTTCCAGCCCTGGCCAGCCTGTCACTTGCTCTGGCTGAGGAGATCTTGTCTCTTGATTTGTCCCTGGCATGGTGGCCAGGATGTGGATGAAGGGGGAATGACTCAAGCCTGGGTTCCCCTGACACCTCTTGCTAGCCCCAGGGTTGGAGTGGGCAGGTCAAGACCTTGCAGCATCTGGGAGAAGTTCTTTTCCTGTGGGCCTTCGGAATAGGCGGGGCATGGCCCTGGAAGGCTGATGGACATGGGGCAGCAGAGCTTGGAAGGGAAAGCTACCCTCACAGAGGCATGTGGCTGGGACTGGTGTGTGCTGGGAACACGGGGCATGCTGCTGCTTGAATGGCTTTCTGTGGCCTCTGACCCTGCTCCCCATTCTTTCTCTCCAACATCACAGGCAGCTGCCTCTCCTCCTCCCTACCTGGGGAGCCAAGGCCTGGGAGGGGGCTGGTGGAGTAGGGTGTTGCCACCCCCTGTAACACTGAGCCTCAGAGACCTATCAAGCTAGCTGGGCTGGGATCAGACCAAGAGGGAAACTGGAATTCAATAAAACTGAATTGTAAGAGCTCAGTGGGATGTTGTCTTCCTCTTTTCAGGGTGCTCAGGAGGGACCCTATGGGACCAGTGGGTGACATGTCAGGCCTCACACCTCCCTTTATGTTCAAGCAGATGTCACTGGGGAGCAGAAATCTCCCCTTTCACCAGCTTGTTCTCGGCAATTATGTTATGGAACCCCAGGGAAGGCTTACATCCTTGGCCCTCACCTCTTGGGGGCCCATAACTGGCTTTCCCCAGTAGCCAGTGTTCCCCTCACACCCTTAACACCCTCTTCCCCCCAATACCCCACAGCACAGCTAAGACCAGACTGAGTTAAGATGACTTTACGGGAACCACAAAAAGCCGATGACAGGGTGAAACCTTGGAACTCCAAGACTCCTAGACTAAGCCTCTCAGCTTGCAGCCAGAGGTGGGAATCCTGCCCATGGGGTAGCACGAGTAAAGCCCACCATGGGGACAAGCCCTTAGCTCATTAGGAAAGAGCCAGGTCACCCCTCTTTGTATCTGCAGCCACAGAAAAGTGCCTGTCCATTGTCCTGCAAGGTCAAGTTTGGCCCCTGTCTGCCAATGCTAGGACAGGCTCTTGGACTCACCTTCAGTAGCCAAAGGGCCTACAGTGTTTTTTTGGGTTTTTAAAACTTGAACTCAGGGCCTTCACATTGAGCTATATCTTCATCCCTTAAAAAAAAATTTTTTTTTTTAATTTTGAGACACGGTCTTGCTAAGTCACTAAATTGCCTAGGCTGAGCTGAAGCTTGTGATCCTCCAGGCTCAGCCTCCTAGAGTGCTAAGGTTACAGGCTTGTGCTGCCATGCCCACCTCTACCATGCAAAGAAGCAGCCTGCCCTGAATGAGGAATTTCAAGCCCCCATGGAGGGGCCGGGAGACAGACTGTTAGAAGTTTGCAGGACAGCTGTTTCCCCAACTTGTAGCCTTTGGAATGCTGAGCGCGCAGGACCTGTGCCCCAGCAGTGCAGTAGGGGCCTGTGGGAGGTTAGTTGGTCCCTTCACTCCCCACTTTGGTAGATGGGAGTCACCTTATTTTCCATTTGAGGCTGAGTCTAGCAAGCACATGGGTAAATGACCCTAACCTCAAGGGCCCCAGGCCCAGGGCTCTTCTAGCTTCACTTCTGTGGCCACCACATTTGTCCAAGGACACTTCATGAGCAGCAGATGAGGCTCCTTCTGGGAGGAGGAACACCCTCAGGGTCGAGGGACAGACAGGGAGAAAATGCCCCTGGAGCAGGCCTGGCCTGGAGTCATTGGAGTTTGCTATAGTGTCCCCTGAGGTGCGGCTGGAACTCTGCCTTATCACCACCACAAGTTCCAACCTCCTCAAGCCTGCCTGATATAAATGTTATTCCTGAGGCCAAAGGGCATGAAGCAGTTTCCTGAGAACTGACAGGAGAGGTAGTAGAGTTCAGACTACCCAGGTTTGAATCCTAACTCCACCAGTTACAAGGTTTGTTACCTGGCCGTGTGCCCAGCTGAGGTCTCTTCATCAAAAAGTGGGGTTAATCATTGGTAGTGGCTTTGTGAAGATTAAACGAATGAATATATGTAAGGCACCTTGGGCCTCCTTGGAGCACAGTGTAAAAAATGCCTGCCTCATTGTTAGGCACTGCTATTTAGTCTGAGGGAGGCAGCTTCCAGGCCCCCATGGCCTCTGTCTCCCAGGGCTCTCTGCATCCAGGGAGACTGCAGGGCGACTCAGACCCAGGCCACGGCTGGAAGCAGAACAGACAGAAGAGCGTAGGAGTGTGGGTTGTAGTTGCACAAATGACACACTAGCTTTATTCACATTGATACAAAAGTAGACTTTTCTAGAAATGTTCTCTTGTGCCAGGGGAGAGGTTAAGTGGCACGTGGCAGGAGGAGGCCTGGGGTGTGGGCACGGAGGGCACAGTGTCTGCATGGGGAAGCTGGTACCCCCACCTTAGCTGTCCACACAGTAGGCTGGGGGAGGGACAGACAGGTGGGGAGCATCTGGAGCCACGGGAAAGGAGCCAGGGAACTCGGGCAGGAGAAGGCTCTGGGCAGATTTGCTGCCCCATCCTCTCCTCTCCTTCTGGCCACTGCCAGTTCCTCCATAGGCTGCCTGGGCTCCAGCATGTGAGTCTGGTTTGGCTTGTGCTTGCTGTTCCCCCTTCCTTACACTCCTCTTGGAAGGGCTAGGTGTGCCCAAGGGCAGCCAAAGTGGCAGGTGGGGGTGGAGAAGTGGGTACACAGATAGATGCTCACACAGGCAAGAGCGAACAAAGGCTGGGGCTTGAGGAGCTCACTGGGGCAGGGCTTTGAGGATGGCGTTCACCTCCTCTGCCACAGCCGTCAGGGCAAATTCAAACTGGTCCTGGGGAAGGGAAGTGGCAGGAGGGTCATGGGGAGGCCCGGCCTCTGCTCCTGCCACAGGGGGTACCTTCCAGGGGTCAAGGTGCTGGGCAGGTCCCTTGCAAGAAGGGGCACTGCCCTCAGGGAGGCAGAGAGGGAGGTGGGAGAGGCAGGCTGCTGCTGGTTTTCTGGGGTGGCCGAGAAGGGGGTGCTGGGGGGTGCTGCTAGGGTCAGGGCAGGGAGGTACAGTCACCTTAGAGTGGACGAGGCCAGGACGCTGGTCACGGACATGCTCCAGGGTGGCAGCAATGTCAATCTCCTTCACTCCTGGAGATGGGGCGGGATGTGGGCTGTTCAGGGGTGTCCGGAGGAGGACAGCACCCAGAAAGCTTGGTGCATCCTGTGGTGGGCAGCTTGGAGATGGGGCAAGGCCTAGAGGTGTGACAGCCTGCACCTCAGTGGCTCCCAGGTGCCTGGGTGCTGGCGAGACTCTAGCAAGGGCCTGAGGGCTGCAGGCACCATGGGGCTGGGCCTTACCTTTTGCCATGCGGTTCAGTACCATGTCGATGAGGATGTAGGTGCCAGTCCTTCCTGCACCATCACTGAAATAGGAGTTGGCGACAGGCTTACCACAGGGCCCAGCAGAGAGGGGGAGGGGTAGAGGTTTGGGCTGGGAACAGCGCTGGCCAATCCATAAGGGCTGGCTTGGGCAGGGGTGTGAGCCCAGGATGAGAGAAAGTGCCCAACATCTGGCCCTGGGACTTGGGCCTTGCATGCAGAGCCTGTGAGCTGTAGGGTGTCCCGGGCCCTGGGACAGAGGCAGCAGGACAGAGTGGGTCAGCCCTCAGTCTGGGCCAGGCTTTTGCTGGGGCAACTTTTTTTTTTGGTACTGGGGATTGAACTCCGGATCGAACTCAGGACCTTGTGCTTGTGAAGCAGGAAGCAGCACCACTGAGTTAAATCCCTGGCCCCTGGGCCAACTTTTATAGAAAGGGCCAGAGAGTAAATATTTCTGACTGTGGAAAGTCCCTGTCACACACTTTCCCCCCTTCTTTCTTCAACCATTCTTAGCGAATAGTCATTAAACAACAGCTGTGCCACGTTTGCCCGGGGCTGTCGTCTGCCAGCACCAAAGGGCTGGGCTGGCAGCTTGCACAGGAGGTGTGCACGGGAGGGTAGCAGGACCAGAGGGGTGGGATCGGGCCCAGCTGGGGGTCCTCCGCCCCGCTCGCCCCACCCACCTGCAGTGCACGATGATGGGGCAGGAGCGGCCCCGGTAACACTTGTTCACCTTCCTGCAGGGAGAAACAGGTGTGAGGACCAGCAGCACAGCGGGGGGGGGGGGGCGGGGGGCACATGCCTCAGCCTTGCTTTCTGCCTCTTCTCCCCATGTGGCCAAGGCAGGGGGAGAAGGGGTGGGAAGGGAGGTGGGGTTGGAGGGGAAGAAGCAGAGCTGGCATGGGTGGCACTGGTGGGCCTTATCATTATGAGCTAAGGGCCCAGGCTGTGGACCTGGAATAACTGATTTGCCCTTTTTGAGCCTCAGTCTTCTTCCCTGAAAATGGGGGATAATAATATAATAACCTTTTCCTCAGGAGTAAGACGATTACACGAGACGATCCATGTAAAGAGGTATGGCTTGAGTGGGTGCTCAATGAATGGGAGCCTCTAATGATGATACATGGTAATATTAACAGCCCAACCCCAAGGCGGCAGGCTTTCTGGTGACTTCAAGGCATTGGTCTGCTCTGTCCCTCTGCCGTCCTTTATAATCACCCCAGCCCTTGTCCCAACTCAGGCTCCTGGTGGTCCTCACCAGCTGTGGTGTCAGCTCATGCTGGGCACAGAGTTCCTTCCACTCTAAACAGCATGCTGCTGTCCATCTTCGGCTCAGCTTCACTTCCACACAGGCATTCTGAGGCTGCCTTACATTCAGGCCTGGGGTCCACTTGGGTCTCAGGACTTTCCCTGCTGCCCCTGACCAGAGCTCAGCGAGAAGCATGGCATTTCCCCCTCCCTCAGTGGCCTTGCCCAGCCTTTCGCTGTCCTTTATGACTCCTGCTTTGAGTCAGCTGTAGACTCCTGATATTCCGGGGGTGGGGGGCAGGACGAGGGAAGACCTTCTTAGAGGCAATCAGATGGTTTTAGGGGAGGCTTGGAACTTAGTGGTCGTCTAGCCTTAGCTAGATGCTAAGGTGACTGAACGGCTTTACAGGACTCTGCATGGCTTTGTAGCACACTACTGAGTGTAACCGAGGGCTGGAGTTGAACAATGGTCCCAGCAGTGGTTTTCAGCCATTTAGTAATAATGATGCTGAACAGTACCCGGAATTAACTGAGCCCTTGCTGTGTGGCAGGCACTGAAACTAGACTTTACCTTATCCTGTCAAGTCTTATAAAAGCCCCCTAAAAGATGTATCATCATCTTCATTTCACAGGCAAGGGCTTACTTGGGCCACTTTCTAGGACCTCTTTTATTAATTTGCCTTCCCGCTGGAGGAGTTTCACCAAGGTGCATTGATTAAACAACAACTAATTTGCCCGGATGTCTCATCCACCTGAATTTATCTAATTTTGGCCTAAGTAACAGTACTTTTTAGCTTCCCCATGCAGCCTTAAAACAGATTTACACAGTGGTCCTGTTGTTATTTTTACAGTGTGTGTGTATGTGTGTTTTCCTTGCTGGAGATGCAACCAGGGCCTTGTGTATGCTAGGCTAGTGCTCTACCACTGAGCTATACCCTTAGCCTGATCATGATGTGGAGGGGTGGGGGGAATACTGAAGCTGAATCCAGAAAGCACTGAGCTACATCCCACCTTTTAAAAACTATTAATAATTTTGAGACAAGGTTTTCTCAGTTGCCCATTCTGGCTTTGAACTTATGGTTCTCCTGCCTCAGCTGGGATAATAGGCATGCATCACCGGGTCTGGCTCTGATAACTTAAAAAATATGATTAAAGAGAAACAGTTCCAGTAGTTTGGTATTGCACTCAAGATGTACCTCAGGCACCAGGGACCCAAGTTAGAAACGATTATTCTGAGGCTTGGAAACCAAAGCCAGGTCTCCACCCCCAGCTGTGCTCTTCTGCCCAACACCTAGAGACCCCAGGCCAGCCTGGCACTGCACAGAGCAGTAGGAGTAGGCTGCAGTGCCATTGGGTCTGCATGGGAAAAGGGAGAGGAGGTTGGAGGCCCGGCCTGGTTTTGATTTCAGGGTCACAACAGGCCAAGTCCCCCGTTGGCATCTGTCCCAGCTCCCACCCTGCACAAGAATTTCTGAGAACCCACACCTTTTCTCTTCCTCCTTCTGACAGACTCAGTCTTCTCCTGCAGCCCCACCCCCCGCCCTCCCAGTAGCCCCTGGGGTGGTCCCCACCCTTATGTCCTGCCCTGTCCAAGCAGTAGCCACACCTGCCAATGGGCACTTTTGTGACTATCCAACTGGAATGAGAATGCTAGCTGCAGATCACAAAAATGACACTGGCAGCTGTGAGGGAGGGAGAGAGGGGACAAGGAACAGGGAGTGAGAAGGACAGAGGAGGAAGAGGCCAAGGGACAGAGGCAGAGAGGGGAGGGAGGTGGGAACAAAAATAAGGGAGAGAAGGCCAGAAGGAGGCAAGTGGGAGGAATGGAGAGAAGGGAGAGATGGGGGGGGGGATAGGGATGGGAAGAAGTGACGGAGATAACAGACCAACGAGGGCAAGAGAGAAGAAAGGAAAGGAGAAAGAGCAAAAGAGAGAGAAACAGAGACAAAGCGACAGAGAGAGGGATGGGGAACCGTGCAGCCAGGAAGGAGTGAGAGGAAACGGAGCGCAGGCCAGGAAATGGGGCTCAGGATAGAGAGGGCCGGAGCGGAGTGCGCCCTTCTCCTGGGAAGCCGGTAAAGCCAGCAGGAGACCGACTCGACTCCAGAGGCTGGGAGAAAACGAGGGCGCCAGGGGGAGGGAGCAGAAAAGCAGAGTGAGCTGGTGGGCTGGAGGGAGGGGCCCCGGGCCCAGCCCGCGGCACCTGTGTCCCGGTCCCACCCCTCCGCGCTCCCTCACCTGCGGAAATCCAGCAGCGGCCGGGTGGAGGCCGGGGTGCCCTCTGCCGGCCAGCTGAGGAAGTGGAACTGCGTGAGCGTGCGCGTCTCCTGCGTCTGCACGTTCTTCAAGTAGAAGCTGCGCACCAGGAAGTCTTCGCACCAGATGTGTTCGGACACGAGGTTCACCTGCCCAGACCAGCCCGGGCCTGAGCGCGCTCCCGCCGCCTCCCCGCCTCCCCGCTTACTTCAAATCTAAGTCCTTGAGGAACTTTACCCTCCCACCCGCCCCACCTGTCCCAGTTGTCCCCAAGGATCCTGGCTGCCTGTGTGGCTTATTTACCGATCAGGGTAAGTGAGTGCTTTTCCACCCGGGCGCCCATTTCGCCTTCCTCTTCCTCACAGATGAATCACAGATGAACATGGACTACATGTTCCATAAACTTTCATGACATTCTATATCTCTATTTGATTTTTTCTTTACCCATGAACAGGTAAAGACTTTTTAAAAAGACTATTGATGTGTTCATTTGGTGATGAAAAAATTACTATCCAGGGTCATGTGTTGATGAGAAACTTCTGATTCTTCTTAAGGTTTCTTGTCTTATGAGGGGCCACCTCCCATTTGTCTGGAATCTCTTCATCCTTCCCCAGCTTTGCCTCTGCCTAGTTCCCCTTTCCCATCTATCTTCTCTCCTAATGAAAAAATTTGTGTCTGTTTTACATAAGCAACATATATGACTGTTGGTATTTCTTTCTTTGCTTTGGTTACCAGGAAACTCAGAGCTAAGTTAGGCTCAATTAAAGGAGATCTCAATCTCCATTTTGGGGTATATTTATTTTCCCTGTCTCACATTCTCCTGAAGCTTATCTTATCTGAGTTTCAGTGGTATTATGATTTTGTTTCTGTACTTTATCATAGGTCCCTACTGATGCCTTTTGACCCTAGATAGGACACACAGGTACACATATATGTATATGTGGGTATGTGAATATAGGTAAGCATATATACATTAACACATGTATAGTCATGTAATATATGAACAGCTATCATCCACCTTCCCCACTCCCGTTATCCCCTTGCTGTGGGGTCCCCCTGACCTCATATACATGGTACAGGGAGGAGCCCTCATCTGGCCAGTAGCGGTCACACTGCTTGACGCCATCCTCCACTAGTGGGGTCAGCATGACGATGATAGTGCAGCCATTCTCCCACACCATCTAGGGACAGAGACCCAGGTAAGCTTCACTCTAAGCTCCCCAGGTGGGACCTGCCTGGCCACAAGGGCCCCTGGTCCCTAGGGAATCCCTCCCTCCAAGAGCCCACCTGCCAGAAGTCTGCGATGGTATGGGACAGCGGTCCCTGGGTGGCTATGTAGGCTGGCATCCGAGGGTCATGCTCAATCTGGGGGCAGAGAAGATGCATCAGGAGCCCGAATGGGAAATGCCATTATGGAGATGCTAGGCAAAAGGGAGTGGGCAGGATGTGGGGAAGGCTGAGAAGCCCCCATTTCCATGCTAGGCTATCAGGTCCCACAATTCCAGGGCCCTGGGTGGGGTGGGAGATGACCACAGGGAAGGAAGCAAAGAGGGGCGGGGTGGGGTTGGAATCAGAGCCACTCACAATGGGGCTGGCGTTGATGTAGTCACTTCGAGAAGGGCTGCTCTCTGCCTTTAGCTTGATGCGGGCATGGTCATCTGCACAGACCAAACCCCCCGCCCCAGATGGCCTCTGGTCACTGGGTCCTGGGACCTCTGCCCCTCAGCCTGAACTGGGAGCCCAGCCCTGTCCCTGCAGCCCTCCAGAGCCACCGGTGGGAAGTGGATGGTGCCAGGCTGGTGACTAGGCTCACTTACATGGCAGGAAGTCAGGATGGCGGTTCTTCTTGATGTTGCCCTCTCCTTGGGCGATGGCACAGGTGTTCGGCTCTGCTTGGTAGGCGCACAGGGCCTGCCACTCCTTGGCCAGGCGGTCCCGGTTCCGCAGGTGGTCCTCCATGTATGCCTACAGGGGCACCACAGCCTGGCTCTGGCCCATATTGCCAGTCCTGCCTCTCCTACCATCCTGTCCCCTCCCCGCTCTGGGCACAGGCCCTGTCCTGACCAGAATCATATGTCCTGTGGAGATGTCCATATTGGCCTGGGCAGGCTCCTCACACCAGGACGGCGTGCTGCTGTGGGAGCTGGGGCTGGCCTGGGCCGCATCGCTGAACTGCGAGGACACGCTGCTCACCCGTGAAGGCTCAGGTGGGCCCTCTGCCCGGTTGAACAGGGACTTTGTAGCCATGTGCTGGCGGCACAGGTCCTGCAGAGGAAGGATCAGGTGGGGCCTACGGGTCTCCTGAAGCCTTTGAATGGGGCTGTGGGTTCAAGTCTGGGCCCCTGGGCTTGATCCTGATTGACTTTGAATGGAACCCATCCCCTCTGGAGTAGGACTTTCTTTTTTGGTACTGGGGATTGAACTTGGGACTTTGTGCTTGTGAGGCAGGTGGCAGAACTACTGAGCTAAATCCCAGGCCCTGGAGTAGGACTTTCTGCCCTTTCAGGTCTTCTGCTGGGTGTTTGTGACAATCTCGGATATTACTGAGCAGAGTCCCAGAAGCCCAAGACCAGAGGATTGGGAAGACTCTCAGTAACCACCCGCTCCTGATTTCCATCCATTCAAAAGCCCCCCCACCCAGCACGGCTTCTGGGGACTCTCCAGCCTGCACCTGGATGTTCCATGGAGTGAGGCTCACTCCCCAGGCTGTGCCACCTTCACCTTGTGAAAAACCCAGGTGCACAAGGCTCCCACACTTCCTGCCTCCATAAGCTTCTGGGGCTGCACACCTGGTACTCAAAGGTAGTGTCACCATGGGCCCCCTCAGGCCCCAGAGCTGCCAAGCGCTCCTTGTCCCGCTGCCGAGAATGCTGGCGCACACACAGAGCCACTGCCAAAGCCACTAGCAGCCCAGCGACACCTGCCAGGGCCACCAGAGTAAGCAGCACGGAGCGCATGGGAGAGGTGCTGTGGGCTGGTCGGAAAAGGACTGCAGCTGCCTCCTCCCTCTGTGGAGAGAATGCCAGAATCAGGGGAGACACCAGGCTCTCCTCACCCTGTCCCATGCCCCGATCCTTGCTAGGGCATCTCCTGAGGCAGATCTGTGAGTAGATACAGGCAGAAGGGTTCTGATCCTCCTCTGAACCCATTAGACCAACTCCCATGCCAGAGACCTCCTGGGGTTGGAGGATTTCCACATTAAGATGGACATGGAGAAGTAGAGAGGGAACCCAAGGGATGGAATTTTAGAATGTGAGGCATCAGTGTGGATGCCGAATAGAAATATATTTTGAGAATAATTCCCTTTCTGTGCAAGGCTGTCCCTTGGAATTTAGAGATTGCCCCAGGAGGTTGAGCATCTCTACTAGTTCTTCCAAGCTCAGGCCTTCCTATTGAGGGCCGGTCCTACAGGAAGGAGCCATTGGCACCACCTGCTGGTCAGAAAAAGAACTGCATGGGGAGGGGCTGGCCAGCCAGACAGGTCTCTGATCCAGTTCCCCCTCAGGTTTGCCTCCATCGCTTGTGGGCAGTGTGGAGCCTCTGGTTTTTCTCGGATTCTCCAGTTAGTGCATACCTGTCCCACTCCTGTCTGCAAGATCTGGAACCCTGTCTGTGCTTCCAGTTCAGACTTCACCAGCCCTGCAGGGAAGGCGCACGTCAGGCTCTCTCCAGCCCCATCTAGTCTACACTCCCACTCATGCTGAGCCTGGCAGGGTCCATGTGGACTGGGGATATGTCAAGTCAGCATCAGCCGCAGGCCTGGGCGTTAGGGCTGGGCCCCAGCCTGGGCTTGCTGTTGGGGCAATATTTACCAGCTTGCTGGGTGACATCTGCCAAAGACAGGTTCTGCTCATTGTGCCGGATGCGGAAGGTGAGGGCTGGTCCCACCACACTGCCAAATAGGAGCTGTGTTACTCCTTTGCTACCTGTAGGGCCCAGACTAACAGAGAAACGAGCTCTGGCCCTCTCTGCTTTGGAGGATGGGGCTGGAGCAGATGAGGGATGCACTACAGGGGAGTCTGCTAACAGCCAGATACTACATGGAACAAGCGGCAGACTATGTGTGACTATACCTTCATTATAGCTGGGAGCCTCTCTCACCCCGGAGCTGCCTTCCCTTCCCTCCCTGAGTCCCTCCAGCCACCGCCTCGTCAAGCTGCTTTCTAGATCCTTGCTGCCACCCGCCAAGGTACCAGCCCCACCTGATGTTGATAAAGTTGCCCGAGGACATGTGCACATGCTCAGCCAGGATCTCCAGCAGCTTCACTCCTACAGCCAGGCTCAGGGGTCTGGAGGTGGGATGAAGACAGAGGAGGGACGTGGGACCCTCAGCTACTTTCTTCAGATGGGTCACCTCCGGGGTTGTAGAGCTGCCCACCACCTCCCTGCCTCCTTCACTTCTGGGTTTCTGTGCTCTGCTTCCTACCAGGCAGGGCAGCCACACCCCAGAGGACAGGAAGGCTCCCCCAGTTGGAGCCCTTACTTCTGGTCAGTGACGATGTAGCCGTACTCCTCTGCTGATGGCTGAGCTGAAGGCTGTCCCACCACTGTGGGCTGGCTCTGGCCCAGTGGACTTTTCTTCTCCAGCAGGATGAGTGTGGCCGAGGGACTGGCAGCCTTGAGGGGCTCAGAGGGGCCTGGGCTCAGCACTGGCTGGACTTTACTGGAGGTGGGGTTGGCAGTGGGGTGTCCAGGAAGGGAGGGTATGGGAGGTGGAGGCTCTGGTGTGTCTCCACCCTGTGCTTGCTCCTCCACTGTCTGAGAAGAGAGGATGGAGATGTGGCTTCCAGACAGTGGCAGGGCTGGGGAAGAGGGCCGGACCTGGACTCAGAGCTCTCCAGAGTAGAGTTTAAAATCTATTTAGCTTTCTATACCCAAGGCCCAGTACAGTGCTGGGTACAGACAGCACACCTCAAAAATGTATGCTAAGTGGATGGACAAATGGATGGATGGATGGATGAATGAATGATTGAATGAGTGAACCATGGGCTGTAAATACACAGAAGGGGGTTGGAGTGGGAGGAGCTTCTGGAAGGAGAGAGCTGGCGTGAGACTGGAAGACTAACAGGCAGGCAAAGGTTTTTAAACTTTTGTTCAGCCAAAACATCTTAGAAGTTCAACACCTAAAACAGAGAGAAGCAGAGCTTCGCCAGCTACAGGGCCTCAGGAGCCTGCCTGCTCTCAACTTCTCTACTGCTGTAAGAGCACATTGTGAAAGGTTTGTAATGAAAAGAGGAGTAAATTAAGAGTTCTGATTTCTGGGTGTGGTGACACACACTTATAATCCCGGCACTCGGGAGGCTAAGGCAGAAGAATCACCGTGAGTTCAAGGCCAGCCTGGGCCACATAGTGAGACCCTGTGTCAAAAAACCAAAAATGAAGGAAACAATTCTGATTTAGAGTCCCAGCTGTGCCATCAACTTGATGCGAAGTCTCTGGGCCTTAGTTTCCCACAAGTGAGGGTCTGGAGAATACAGATTCTGGGCCCCAACCCTAAGACTTAGGTTCCAAGAATAGAGATGTGCCACCATGAGCAATGACAGATCAGGAAAGTGCTGGGAACTCACTTTCTTGATATCGGCTCCAACATTCACCACTCCTCCTGCAAAGACAGGAAAAATGAGAGCCTGGGGAAGAAGTCAAGGCCAAGATCCACATAATACAGTGGGAGAAGGGGCCAGAGCCCTGAGCTTGTTCCACCTGCTGTGGGCTCCTTCTTTAGTCAGTGATTAAGACCCTGTCAAGGGTCCCATCCTATGAATGGCCTCATTCCTCTTTGCTTCTGCTGTAGAAGTCGTTGTTTTATTAGCTGCTCCCTGTCATTGGCCCAGCTCTCAAAGCTGTTCTCCAGCCAGCCCTCCCTCTACTCATCAATTACTGGCTTCTCTTCTCTTCCACATGGGCCATGTCCCCCATCAGGGCGTCATTAGCACTGACCTTCCCTTCTTGATGCCTCTTTTCCCTGCTCACATCTTCTGTTGGTTTTTCCATTATCCCCACCTCTCGTCTTTTCCTGGTCTAACCCCTCGGTTCACCATCTGCCCCTGTGTCTCAAAAGAACTCTCTTGGGCTGCAGAGGTAGCTCAGTGGTAGAGCTCTTGCCTATCATGCATGAGGTCCTGGATTGTATCCTCAGCATTGCAAAAATAAAAACCAAACCAAACCTGTCTTCCCTTGACCCTGACTCTTCCTCTCCAGGCTCCTCCATGTGGAGTTAAGAGGTGAGACAAGAGCTGGGACTTGCTGCTCTCTGCCTGGACACTCACCTGGATTTCTTCCTGAACCCTTGGGCAGCAGCTGCAGTATGGTCAAGAGGGTGGAGAGCTGCTCAGGAGTCAGCTGTCGTAGCTCCACCCCATACCCCGCCAGCACAGCGGCCAGTCGCAGAGTCACGTCTGCTGGGGCCAGAGACAGAGCGTAGGGCTGATGGTGGGATGGACTTGTGGGATGCAGGTGGGATGAAGGGGCCCTAGCACACATACTCTTCTCAAATACCAGGACATTGATGCTTTGGGCTTCCCTTGTGCACATTTCGGCGGAAAGACCTCCCTGGGGCCAAGACCTAAACTCCAGGCCCACCAAGGACAGAGTGATTCTCCATTTGAAGAAGAGTCCTGTCAGCTCCACACCCCACTGTACTCCCACCTATGCTGTCAGCAGACTTTAATTAAATGTATGAAAGGCTTTGGGGATAATTTAACAAATACATGCATAGTCAGGAAGAAACCCCATGGTTCACCTAAAGCAGCCCCAACAGGCAGGGCAGTGGACAGTGAAGAAAGTTACCTGGCTGCTCTGCTGGAGAAGGGGACTTTTCCCCAGGACCCCCTAGTCCCTCCTCATAGCCCTCTGAGGAGTCCTCTGCCCGACTGCTGCTCCCTTGTTCTGGCAGCATTGGTGCCCTGGCCCTGCCAGGCACTGGCAACTCCTGGGCCAGGTAGAGCAGCCCTGAGTCCTGGAAAAGTTGAGCAGGTGAGGGCCCTGGCAAGTCCCCATAGGAGTGGCCAGGGTGGGCTCCAAACATGCCTTTGGAGGCAGTTCTGCTGAAGAGGGAAGGAGCTTCGGCCTTGGGCAGAGGCCCAACACTGACCATTCCTGGGGGGCTCTCTGAGCTTCGGGAGCCATCTCGGGAGCCAAACTGTGGGAAGCCAGAGATCTGGGTAAGAGCAGAAGTCAGGGTTGGGAGATTTGGGTTGGGGAAGGGCCAGAGTGGAGGGCTTACCTGGTGGAACAGGTAGGGCTGCAGCAAGGCAGGCTCATAACTCAGGGCAGGGTGGGGAGGCTGTGGGGGCAGCAGCAGATGCTCCAAGAGAGAGGGCAGCAGCTCAGCTTGCAGAGAGGACAGGGAGGAGCCGGTCCCAGGTCCACCTCCACCGACTGGAGGTCGAGGAAGCCCCTGAGCAGCAGGGGCGGAGCCTGTGGGGATGCCCTGTAAAAGCAACTCTCCAGCAGGAACAGGTCTCCTGGGCATCAAGCCAGATCTGGGGAGAAAAGCAAAGAGTGTGAGAGAGAGTGTGTGTGTGTGTGTGTGTGTGTGTGTGTGTGTGTGTGTGTGTGTGTGTGTGTGTGTGTAGCTGTATTGGGCAAGGATTTACAAAGCAGAGATAGTGTAGGCAAGACAGGGTCAACAGTTTGGAGCAGACCTGACCTCTTAAGAAATGAGGTGGGGCCAGGGATTTAGCTCAGTGGTTCCACTGCCTGCCTCACAAGCGCAAGGACCTGAGTTCAATCCCTGGTACCAGAAAAAAAAAATGAGGCAGCCTCAGGGCAGGAGAGATGAGCCAGAAGGGCATGGAGATGGGGCCAGAGGGCCGAGCCTGGGCAGAGGCATCTGCTGCCTTGGGGGCATCCCTAGGTTCCTGAGACACAGCCACAGAGGGTAGGGAAGCACAAGGCTAGGGGCAGAGAGGGAAGGGTGGGATCCAGTGGGTGCAGCTGGAATCCTCTTTAGATGAACTGTGGGTGTGGGCTGCCCAGCTGTCCCTGTGTGCATGTCCCCTCACTTGATTCTCCAAGCAGATGTTCAAACACTCAAGACTGTCCTGCCCCACCCGTGCCACTATGCTTTCTTTGTCCCGGTGTCATCATCTGAGCTCCATGGACCTCATGTCCCTGTCTTTGCTTTGCAGGGTCCAAGTCTTGCCTTTTGGGGTCCTAACCATGGGAAGACAGTGACACCGTCTGCAATAAACAATTCTGTGTCCTAATGAACTGAATGGTAAAGAACTTTGGTTCAACAAAATTCTGGTCTGCTCGTGATGACTACTTGGATGCCTCTTTTAAAAAGCAACATTTTTCAAAGTATTTTTTAATGCTGTGTTTTGTTGGATCCCCAGAGTGAGCTCAGCTCCTACTGAGCATTCGAGCATGTCAGTGTGACCATTCCTGAGGCTCCCTTACCTGTGCCCCAGCCTGCTGGCCTTGGTGTGCCCTCTCCTCCATCCACCAAGAAGATCACAGACCACCAGCCTCAAAACCTTACGGTGATTGAGAAAGCTTGCCTACCTGTCCCTCTGACGGGTCTCAGGGGGTCTTAGCCTGGGGATGCGCTCCATCTCCTGGGAGATCACATACTGGGTGAGGTCATCATGCCAGGACAATCCTGTTGGAGGGAAAGGACACGATGAGGTTGGCTCGGGCCCAGTAATGAAAGTCGGTGGAGATCAGGCATGTACTCTCGACTCTGCAGGAATCTGGGTTTGCAGGGGCAGAGGGGCAGTGGAGGGGCCTGAAGACTTGCTGTGTGATCTGAGCTATCTTCTACCCAGCTTCAGGGACAGCTTTTGGAGTCAGACTGCCTGGATTCGAATCCTGCCTCTGCCACTGAGGAATTGAATGACTTTGGGCAAGTTGCTGAGCCTCAATTTTCTCAAAGCAGCTCTCTCATATGCAAGATGGGACTTTATACCTCCTAAGACTGTGACAGTTAAAACAGCACATGTTAAATAGAATAGTGCCTGTCACATAATGAACTTCCCATAAATGCTAGTATAATCATCACTATTCTTTCTGTTGATCTTGAACACTGAACTATATGCCTCCATACCCTTATGTTTTATTTTGAGGTAGGCTGGGCTTGAACTTGCAGTCTTCCTGCCTCAGTCTCCAAGAGTGCTGGGATTGGAGGCATAGACTACCACGCCTGGCTCTGAGGCAGATCTTCTGTTTAACCCTTTGCCCCAGGAAATTCTGCTCTTGGGAGAGACCAGTCACCTATTCTAAAAGAAGGGTCTCCCACTCTGCACCCAATTCTTTCTTGTCGGATCCGAGTTTAAAACCTGTGCTCTAATTCACTCACATTCCGGGATGTACCAGCGTTGCATTTGCAAGGCAGGCGGCAGAACCACTGAGCTAAATTCTCGGCCCGCCATTCCCTCTTAATCCACTCTGTTAAGTATTAATCTATCAAAATTCCTCTCATAAAGATTACCAGCAACTTCTGCATGTATAAATCTGGTAGTCAATTTTCAGATCTCATTTTACTTAATCTACCATGCTCATTTGACACTTTGACACTATTGATCACTCCTTCCTTTTTTTTTGTACCGGGGGATCGAACTCAGGACCTTGCACTTGTGAGGCAGGTTCAGTGCCACTGAGCTAAACCCTGGCCCCTACCTTTTGGATACACTTTCATTTGGCTTCCAGACCACTAAAGATTCTTTCCTTTCTATCTCACTGGCCTCCCCTTCTCAGATTCCCTTGTTTATCCCCCCCGCCCCCCTCTTGCCTCCTGGTACTGGGATTGAAACCCTTCACATTGCACTACATTCCTGTTTTGTTTTTGTTTTTTGTTTGCTTTTTGTTTGTTTGTTTGGTTGTTTGTTTTTGGTACCAGGGATCGAAATTGGGATATTGCATTTGCAAGGCAGGCACCAGAACCACTGAGCTAAATCCCTGGCTCCTTTGGTTTTTTGAGACAGAGTCTCACTATGTAGCTCAGGTTGGCCTTGAATTCACTATATAGTCTAGGCTAGCCTTGAACTCACAGTGATCCTCCTGCCTCAGCCTCCCAAGTGCTGGGATTACAAGTATGTCCCACCATTAACAGCTTCCTCTCCTTATCCTCTTAACATTAATATTCTCTAGGGCTAAATCTTTGACTTAATATTAAAATTCTCTAGGGTTTGATCCTTGGTACTCTTTTCCATATACACTCAATTTTCTGGTTATCTTATCTACCTTAGAGATCTAATACCATTTATATGCCAAAGAACCCCAAATTCATATCTCTGTTCCAATCCCCCCTCTCATGTAAATCCAATCTCATGTACTTAACAATCTACTTTTACTTGACCAGACATCTTAAACTCAACATATTAAAAACTGAACACCCTCCTGCCCTTCACTGAAGTTGTTTCTTCTGCAATTTTCCCCATCATGGTTAATGACATCTCATGGACTCAGTTATTCAGGCAATAAAACCTGGGTGTCACCTTTGATTCCTCTCTTTACAGCCATAACCAATATTTCATGAAATCATCACCTTGGTCCAATCTATCCTCATCTCTTATCTGAGGTATCGTAACAAGTTTGAATGTCTCTGAGCTGCAATCTTTGATCTCTACATTCTACATACTCTCAACCCAGCAGCAAGCGATCGTTTTATAGAACTTAGATCATGCATCCCTATCATCCAAACCTTGTTTCTTCTCTTACTCACTGTAAAGCCAGTCTCCATGCATTCTCCTATAAGGGTCTCCTACAAAGATCTGCATCCCCCACCCCATTACTTTCCTGACTGTACCATACGCTCTTCTTCATCACTCTTCTATAGCCACGCTGTTCTCCATATGTTTCTCAGACTTGTGCTCCTGTCTTAGGATTTTTGTCCTACCTGTTTGGTCTGCCTGAAACACTCTTCTCCCTGCACAGCCTCCTTGAGGACTCTTCTGCTTCCTTAAAGTCTGTTTAAATTTTATGGTCTCACTAAGGTCTACTTTGGTCACCTGATTTAATACTGCAGATTCCCACCTCACCATTGCTGATCACTTGATCCTGTTGTAATGTTCCAAGGCATTTATAACCTTCTAATATGTGATATTTCTTCTAACTTAGTGTTTCCTCCTTTATCTCCCAAACATAAATGCCAGGAAACAGAGACTTTTGTTTTATTCCCTGACATATCCCAAACATCTAAACTATGCCTGCCATACAGGAAGTACTCCATAAATACTTGTTGAATGAGTGAGTTGGATGAGCAGGGTGTTCTGTCTGGGAAGCCTAGAATTCATGGCTCTGAAACACTCAAGACAGGGGCAGGGAGTGGGGCTGGTCCTAAAGAGAAGGATGCGGCCATTCCCCAGTGATTTCATCTAGAGCCTCCTCAGGGCTTCTCCAAAGAGTCCAAATGTGAACAGCTCATCTCCAGGGCTGTTCTCCATCCCTATGTTGCTTCTTTCTCTAGCAAGATGTGGAAGGTGTTCCAGAAATGGGTGTGATAGGAATGTTCCACGAAGAGAAATCTTTGGCTCAGGGAACCCCTCTCTTCTGCACCCGTGCTAACTGAGTCCCCATCTCTCCCCCAGTGCATACAGACCTCACCTTGGGACATGAGTTGTCGAAGCACAGCTTGTAAGCGTTGGAGAACTGGGGAGGTGACTTGCAAAAGGGGCCGGGCCTGCCCCACTCCCACCTGGCACTGTCCAAACAAGCCATCTAAGAGCACAAAGGTGTGGTTATCCAGGGCCTTGGACAAGAAGCCTTCCAAAATGCAGGTCACAAATGAATAGCGCTCTGTGCACTTCCTTTCTTGGCTTTAGAGCTCTGCCCCTCTAGGCCAGCGTCCTTCTTCCCAAGCTTGCCCCCCCCTTCTAGGACCCCCACTTGCATTTTACTGTACTGCCATCTTGTGAGTCTTATACTTTGGACCTCACTCACCCTGAATACAGACTTCGAGGTGAGAGCAGAGTTTGCGGTCAAACAGACAGCCTGTGGAGGGACAGATGAACAGAGTCTCAACACCATATGCAAAAAGGTCAGGTGGATGCGGGGGGGGGGGCGTGGGAAACAGATGGGGCCCCTCCTTTCATTCTGAGGAAGGCTTAAAGGAAGGAAGCACGGGATCTGGCTTTGGCTTTTGAAGATCTGAGAGTCTGGATCCTTAAAAGCCTCAATTGGCTTAACTGAGATCTGAGAAGAGGCTTTTTAGGTGTATGGAAGCCGTGAGGAATGGTGTTGGAGGATCATACCCTTGTCTCATGGAATTACTGTGGGAGAGTTTTGGGCCAAATTCGGAGGGCAAAGGTACTTCAATATCTTCAAAAGCATCCTAACTATAACAGCCCGGAACTCAGAAGAGGAGGAGACTCTAACACGCTGCTCCTGAGCGGGGGTGGAGTTGGGGTTGGTGTGTGCGGGGGTTTGGGGATGTGTCTGAAGCCGCCGCTGTCCTCGGTGCTGAAGCCATGAGCCCGGCGGGCCAAGGGCTTGTTTGCCTGGAGGCAGCTAGGAGAGAAGGAGAGGTGACAGAAGTCTCCGCAGGACCGGACCCTTCCGCTCCATCTGGCTAACCCAAAGCGTCACAGGAAGTACCCTGCCTCGGCCTCCAAGCCCGGGTGGGGAAAGAAGGCTCCAGATGGCGAGGCCGCGCCCCTTCCCCCACGCGCTACCCCCCCCCCCGCCACCCCCGGCCCATGAGTCAGCGCTGACGGTCTCTGTCCTCGCAGATGTGAGTCAGCACTAGGCCAGGATGTGGGGAGGGGGACAAGGGAGGACCCTCCCCTCTTCAACCTCTTCTGCCCCCTCCCCCAGCTGTCTCCCTCTTGTGGCAGATCAGATAGCCCCAACTGGCCTCTCTTGGCTTACAGAGAAACCCTGGGCCCTCTCTCAGCCCAGTCCCCTGCTGGGAGCTGAACCCTCCAGGTCCCGGGTCGGCTCTGACCCCCTGGAGATCGTCCCTCCCCCTCCCGTTCTCCACGCAGACCCCCACCGCCCCGGCACCTCGGCCTGACTTGCTTCTCCCCTGATCTTGCAGCCCGTCTCTTGAGTCCCTCTGTCCACACGCACCTCCATTGCTCCTGCTGATCCCACAACTTACCCGGATCTTACTTCTCGTAGGTCCCGCCCGGGTATTTCCAGCCCCACCTCCATGCCTACGCCCCTTTCCTCCCAGTGCCTTCCCACTCCATCGCACGCACCTGTTCTACCTGAGCGTCTCACCTTCGTGACGCTGCCCTCCACCCCCCACCGAGGGTTTTGCTCCCGGCCCCATACCCCCCTCCCCCCCCAAGTTTCCTCCTGACCGTGGGCACTAATGGCGCTGCAGCCCCCTGGGCGGCTGCTCAGCAGCAGGAGGCAGAAGAGCACCCGGAGACCCCCAGATCCCCCGGGGCTTCCACGCCGACGCGGGCGCCGCATCCTCCTGGCTCCCAGCTCTCGCTCCCCGCCAGAGTCGCAGCAGCGCCGGCCCGAGGCAGCCAGCTGGGAGCCAAGGCGGGGCCTGGCGCTCCCCACCCAGCTACGAGGCGGGTCTGCGCGCCCCTCTCCGCGCGAGTCTGCCAACCGCAGGCGGGTGATGACGGCCTCTCCACCCCCAGCTCTTACGCCTATTTGCGTCATAAGTGGCGTAAGAGGCCTGTCCTTGCGGGGGACCTGCCCAACCTAGTCCTCCTCCACGCAATTGTAGGCGCCTCACTAGAATTCCCACTTGGCCCCGTCCTTTTTTGACCCGTCTCTATCTCCCGGTCCCAGGGTTAGCGGAAAGGGTTAAAGTTCCCTGGGGGCCCCGAAGGCTAGTGGATTAAAGAGCATAAACCCTACAATGAGAAGCATAGAAGTGAATAGAATAGGAACTCTTCAGGTGTCTTCGTTAACGGAACTGGCGTCATCCTGAGGAGGAGGATGGTTAGGGGTGCATGCCTGGATTCCAGAAGTAAGAGCGCCACTTCTGGGAGTATAACCTTGGGCAAGTCGTTCACCCTGTCTGAGCCCAAACTTAACTTCACAGGGCACTGTAAGACTTAATGCGAGAAACTCACATGGCTCACTGGGAACGAAGGTGGGCTCAACACTAGATACGCATTAACTGTTTTCTTTTTGCAATGTATTTATTTATTTTTGATACCAGGGGTCGAACTCGGGACCTTGCGCTTGCTTGCGAGGCAGGCGGCAGCACCACTGAGCTAAATCCCCGGCCCTCCAATGTCTTTATTTTTGATACCTTTTTCTTTCTTTTTAAATGCTTATTTAATTTTAATTGATACACAGTAATTGTACATGTTTATGGGACACAGTGTGACGTTTCCATAAGTGTATACAATGTGTACTGATCAGATCATAATTCTCAGATCATAATTGGTAATTGGCGTGTCTTTCACTTCAGAAATCTTTTCTTTATGTTGGGAACATTCAGAATCCTCTCTTCTAGCTATTTTGAAGTATTAAACTAATCGTTGTTAACCACAGCTATTGTACTGTGCTGTAGGACACTGTAAATTATTCCTCCTGCTCCCTTCTAACTTTTATTATTAGTTTTTACTCTCTTGCTCTCTCCCCTCCCAAGCTTTTCAATAATCTTATAGTTTCAATAGGAAAGTATATCGAACACCAGTCCCCACCCCACCCCCAGAGGGTCATCCTATGTTACCTGGGCTGGCCTTGAACTTGCAATCTTCCTGCCCCAACCTGCCAAGTTGTGGGATTCCAGGCATGTGGCACTACAGCCAGCACAACCCACTTCTCTTCATCCTGACTACCTATCTAGACCACTGTGTTCTGTCAGCAGGACTGGTCAGTAATCACTGGGCTGGTCTTCCACTTCCACTCTTGTTACCGAATAACTAGAAAGTGAGCTTTCTAGAATTCAGATCTGATCACTGTACTCTCTTGCTTTCCAGTAAAAGGAAATAAAGTGTGTAGTGAATACTCATACATTTGTCATCTACACTTAACAGTTATTGACATTTTGCCATTTTTGCTTCCTTTTTAGTATTTAAACAGAAACTACTGACATTATGACACTTCTATAAATATTTCAATATGCATCTCCAGGAAATAAGACATAACCACAATAAGTCTCTAACGTAGTTTAATGCTGAATTCATATTTAAATTTCTCAAATTGTTTTCAAAAATGCCTTTTAAAGCATTTTTTTAGTACTGAGAATTATCCTGAGCTACATCCCCACCCTCACCTCTTCCCCCTTTTATTTTACTCAGAGTCTCCCTAAGTTTTCCAGGCTGGGCTCAAACTTATGATCCTGTCACAGCCTTCCAAAGTGCTGGGAATACAGGTGTGAACCATAATGTTGAGCTTAATTATGTTTTTGAATTCTATTTACATTATCACACACACACACACACACACACACACACCTGTTGACATTGCCTTGTTGACGTGTGCAGGTCACTTTTTCAAATTCCCCACCTTCTGGACTTGTCTGATTGTTTCCTCTTGGTGTATTCCTCATGTATATAACATGTTTATCTACTATATTTCCTGTAAACTAAAAGATACATTTGAAGTCTTTATTAGGTCAGCCTTAAAAAAGTTTTAAAGGAACTAGAGACATTTATAGCTAAATGGATGCATATTGAGGCCATACTCTCTTTTTTTTTGGTACTGGGGATTGAACTCAGGACCTTGCACTTGCGAGGCAGGCACCAGAACCACTGAGCTAAATCCCTGGCCTGAGGCCATACTCTTAAGTGAAATAAATAGGACACACACGTGTAAATACCGAATAGTTTCTCTGGTGTAAAAAACTGAAAGTGTAAATAAGGTTCAAAATGTATAATTGATAATGTAAAATAGGAAGAAAAGGACTAAAGGAATAGGGGAAGTGGGAGGGGAAGGGGAAAGGAAAGAATGGAAAAGAAAAAATATGAGAAAAGGAAAAAATGGAAACAAAGTCTTTATAAATAGGGAAGGGTGGAGGGGGTGAAGAGAGGGCAGGGGAAGGGGAAAAAATAAGAACCAAGATATATCATGTATAGGTACAAGATCCCAATGATGAATGTAACTGTGTTGTATACCTAAAATGTACCAATAAACTTAATGAAAAAAAGTTTAAAGAAAAATGCCCTTAATTGCATCATTTCAGGAGATGCATAATAACCCACTATTAGTGATGCTGGCATTGACCACTGGCCACCTAGATCTCCATGTGTAAAGTTACATTTTCCTAATATGTCTAGCATGTATATCATCCATGGGCTGATACTTTGGTACCATGAGGATATTTGGATGCCCATCAGCTTTTCACCTAGTGGCTTTTGCCATTCATTAATGATTTTTTTCATTCGACATATTTTCTTTATTAAGCCAAATGGGAAGTCTAGGGGCAGTCATTATATTATCATTTATATACTTGAAATGAAATTTTCTTTTGAATATTTGAATTTAGTTCTCAAATAAGTAGCTTTATTTATTTATTTATTTTTGCTTAAATTCTTTTATTGGTACATTTTAGGTATACAATATGTTTACATTTATCATTGGGTGCTTGGACCTGTACATGATGTATCTTGGTTTCTATTTTTTCCCCATTCCCTGTGTGCCCTTCACCCCCTCCACCCTTACCTATTTACATAGACTTTGTTTCCATTTTTTTCTTTTCTCATAATTTTTCCTTTCCCTTTTTTCCTTTCCCCTTCCCCTCCCACCACCCTTATCCCTTTGGACCTTTCCTATTTCAAATTATCAATTATTCATTATTAATCCTTTTAATCCTTATTTACACTTTCAGTTTCTCACACTAGAGAAACTATTCAGTATTTACACATGTGTCCTATTTATTTCACTTACGAGTATGGCCTCAATATGCATCCATTTAGCTATAAATATCTCTAGCTTCTCGTTCTTTATGGCTGAGTAGTTCTCCATTTTATAAAAAAACCCACATCTTCTTTATCCAGTTTCCAATTGATGGGCACATGGGCTGTTTCAAGCCTTAGCTATTGCAAACTGTGCCACTATAAACGTGGATGCACATGTATCATTGCGGTATTATTCCTTTAATTCTTTTGGGAAGATACCCAGCAGGGGAATAGGTGGATCAAATGGAACCTCTAGCCCTAGTTCTCTGAGGTATCTCCATACTGATTTCCACAGTGGTTGCACCAGTCTACACTCCCACCAGCAGTGGAGAAGGGTTCCTTTCTCCCCACAGCCCCACCAGCACTTGTTATTGGTTGATTTCTTGATAGCAGCCATTCTTTCTGGGGTGAGGTGGAATCTCTATGTTGTTTTCATCTGCATCTCTCGAATGACCAGTGATGTTGAACATTTTTTCATATGTTTATTTGCTGCTTTTACTTCTTTGTCTGAGAAATGTCTGTTCATTTCAGATGCCCATTTTTGAATTGGGTCTTTGAATTTGGGGGTCTGATTTTTTTCAGTTCTTTATATATTCTAGATAGTAGTCCTTTGTCTGAGGTACAGCTGCTAAAATTTTTTCCCACATTGTGTGTTGTCTTGTAGCTCTGTTGGTTGTTTCTCTTAATGATTCTTAATGAAATTATTTCATTAGAGGTCGCAAAATAGTGATTTTTCT